AAATGTTAAACCAAAATATTTACAAAGGTAGCCTGTGCACATATGCGTTACATATTTTCTTTGAAAATTGCAAGCAAGATGACATTTTAAGCAATAGCCAATTTGTTTCTTTTGAAATTTTGTAGGTAGCTGAAACACAAAGGAAAAAACTCTCCATGTGAGTACGTACAACTTGTATGGATCTTCAGGGTGTTATGCTGAGTGGAAAAGGCAGTTGCAAAAGGTACATATCTAAGCTAAGCATTCTCAAAATGGTAAGATTACACAGACGGAGAACAGTCAGGGATTAGGGAAGCAGAGGGTGTCAGTGCCTTAGGGCAGCCCAAGGGAGTTTCCTTGTGGTGATGAAGTTCTTTATCTTGATTTGTAGTGGTAATATAAACCTCAACATAGAATTATATACAAAACCAAAAATATATATGCATACATCACTGCAGATGGCAATTGCAGCCATGAAATTAAAAGACGCTTACTCCTTGGAAGGAAAGTTATGATCAACCTAGACAGCATATTAAAAAGCAGAGACATTACTTTGTCAATAAAGGTTCATCTAGTCAAGGCTATGGTTTTTCCAGTGGTCATGTATAGATGTGAGAGTTGGACTGTGAAGAAAGCTGAGTGCCAAAGAATTGATGCTTTTGAACTGTGGTGTTGGAGAAGACTCTTAAGAGTCCCTTGGACTGCAAGGAGATCCAACCAGTCCATCCTAAAGGAGATCAATCCTGGGTGTTCATTGGAAGGACTGATGTTGAAGCTGAAACTCCCAAGATTTTGGCCACCTGATGCGAAGAGCTGACTCATTTGAAAAGACCCTGATGTTGGGAAAGACTGAAGGCAGGAGAAGGGGACGACAGGGGATGAGATGGTTCGATGGCATCGACTCAATGGACATGGGTTTGGGTGAACTCTGGGTGCTGGTGATGGACAGGGAGGCCTGGTGTGCTTCGGTTCACGGGGTTGCAAAGAGCCGGACACGACTGAGCGACTGAACCGACTGATACGTGCCCGAGAACAATGAGTGCATCAAAAACTGGTGAAATCCAAAGGCGGCCTTAACTCTCACCCTCAGTTACCGTCAATGTCAATTTCCTGATAAGGTTATAGTTACCGGTGGGGGGAGTCTGGGTGATGGGCACAAAGGCTCTCTCTGTAGTGGTAATGCAACTTTTTGTGAGCCTATAATTATTTCAAATTACAAAGTTAGCCTCAAATGCCTCTGCTGAAGAAAGGATTCCAGCTACCAATCAAAAGTACTTAAGAAGCGATTTAGTCAAAGACTGGTATCCTTTCAGGACACAGGTCTTTAGATATAAATGCTGAGACTCCTCATTTAGTATATGCTTGGTAGTACCCACGTCTGTAAGTTTTAAACTGTGTAATTTAAAGCAATCGCTGTTTCCATAACATCTATTAAAGTTGTAGAACCAGGAAGTTTTAAGAGTGAGCAGGAATCTTACAGAGAATGTAGGCCAAATTTTCAGGTTACACCTTTGGGTTTTGGTATTCCTATTTTTAATCTGTACGTTATGTCCTAGACTGCAATGCCCTGCCTCGTCCTAAATTTTATAACCCACAACTTTACAAAATAAATGACAGCAACTTTAATGGTGATCTTATAAATTTTTCCTCGATATTTAGTGCATGAGACAAACCTCAATTTATGGCTGACTGCAGATGTGGATGCAAAAGAGACTCATTTAACACCATCTCACACATTATAAACACTTGCAGAGTAAATTATCTGGATTTATGTTTGCCACTTACCTAAGCTTTATAATTTTCCAGGACAGAGGGTCAAGGCAGTTTTCTGAGGTGACGTATTGTTACATATTCCCTGTACAGACGCATGACTTCTGTCCCTTTGCATACATATGTGGAGAGAGGAGGCTACTGAGACCTAGCAGGTCTGCCACCAGACCTACTAAATTAATCCTGGAAAGATTCTGGCCAAACAAACATGACAACTCGGGCAACTTTAAAGCAGCAGTCATTATCATTTGGGAAAAAATGGAGATAATGCTCTCTCAATGGCCAATATAGCTTAAGCTTAATCTTTCACATCAACTCCTCTTTTTCCTGGAATGCTAAAAACTGATTACCCTTTGGGGAAACTGAGGCCACCAGAGAAACAGGCTCAGAATGCACCAGGGTTGTGTCTGGCCTGATGACAGCACACATCTACAGAACGATCTTAGCAGTAACACTCTGTATCATGGTGTTGATTTCCCTTAAGTCTGTAACAACTTGAGTCATAGTCTTACAAAAACAAAACAAGACTAGTAACTCACAGCATCAATGGAATCATTTTATTAACAAAAGGAACCCATGGGGTTCAGACAAGAGTACAAAATACAATTTTTTTTTCTTGTGGGTTAAATTGTTACATTTTTATAATAAAAATAAAAGGCTTTGATAGTTAACTTATCAAAAACATAACCCCTGCCTACTGAGTTTCTTATTGTGCAAAACAAAACATGAAAGTTCTGCCCATGGAAGAATTTTGTGAGCCAAAAGATGCACATTCGCAATTTCAAAAATTTTGCATCAAAAAGAAAATTCTAAGGCCACGGTTTCTTTGCAAACGAAACAAGAGGAGAATAAACAAGCAAATAGCAGCTAAATTTTTATCGTCATTCCCAAGTTATTTTCTATTCCAATGTAGAATCTTCTACATTCATCAAATAACTTCTTGATTATAAACAGGTATGCAGTTTCAACCTACTGCTTAAGGTCAGATATACCAATATCAATTCAATAAGGCAAATCATACCTTTTAGCTATTCTCGTGCTAGAAAATCAGCTCTGTTTTAATTTGATGGGTGCACTTTATGATTTCTTTAAAAAAGGTGGCAAGACAATCCAAGTGAAGACCCTAGTAAGCAGCTGCCTTTCTACCTTCAGTCAGATAATTAAACTTTCTCTTTCTCTGAACAATTTTGTTGTTTCTTTCACTGTGTTTTGGTATCATGGAGATGGACAATGTCTTGATAAAACATGTAAACTGTAATTTAGAGGTCAAGAAATAGCTGATGATCTTTTTTTAAAGTACAAATAAAACTGATGAGACAACGCATCAGACAACAGTGTGTAAATTACTCACACACGAAAACAAAGCAAAATAAAAGATCACCAAAACACCAAAGGAAGGAGTAATAATTCATGACAATTTCAGTATTGCAATTATTGGGAGAACAGCTTGCACTGTGATTTTCAACAGGGGCTTACAACGGAAGAACGGCTTAAGATGCTTACGTGATTACAGAGAAGAGAGGTATGCCCAGAAGGATTAAAAGTGTACATTTACCTAATGTTTATATAAAAATCCCTGATCAAATGTCCATCTAATTTTTACATACAAAATTTAACCTTAGGACTTTTCTAACTGAGTATACTGCTCGAAAGAAAAGCTAATCGTTCAGTGAAGTACAGTATTTGGCATGGGAAGCACCAGGGTTTCTAGATAAACCCTTAGGACATAGAGAAAACCAAAGCACTGGGCTGGTCCAAAATGTCTATCATGGGGATCCCTACCTCCCTTCCACTCAGCATGCAGAAATACTCTTCAGCTCACGAAACCAACAGATTAAAGTAAAAACAAGTGAACGTTTGACTGACTAGGAGGTGAGAGAGGGACATAAAAACACTGCTCAGACTTTTAGCAGCAACACAATCTTGTTGGTCTGAATATCCTGAGGTTAAAGGATAATAAAATATTGCACCAAAATGATAAAAAAAAAAATCACAGTTTAAACAGAATTACTAAAGAAGTGGAATAACAATGGACAACACAGTGACTGCCATCGTATCAGTACACTTATGTCTCTTGAGAGGAATTAACTTTATGACTTAAAAAAAAAAATGGTATTTCTGCCTTCTTGATTTTACATTAACTTGAAATATCCTTTGGTATATACATACTAACCTTCATCTAATGCTAACCTTACAAGTTTTGCCCTTAGTCCAGTTTCAGGTTTGGGGTAGGAGACTGCTTGCTATAGACAAATGAGCAGAAACTCCAGAGAAGACTTCTCAGGCCTGGAGCTTTAAACCGAATCGGATTCTGATAACACCGTTAGAGGTAGGTAAGAAAAGGCCTTTTTCCCCCCACTGTGCAGTTATCAATGCATCCTAAGGATACAAGCTTTTTTGTTTTTTTAACCCTTTTAAAAATATGCTCCTAGGTAATTAAGACATGAGGAAAATCAAACACATACCCTGCTAAAGTACTTAAAGGGGGTTAAGAAGTGGCAACTTCAACAAAATGTGTTCTCAAGTTGAAATTCACCTTTCCCCTTTCAACTGACAAGCCTTTCAAAGAACTCATTCTTGGTTTCATAATACTGTAGAGCCAATTTATAAACTACCTCTTAGACTATCACTAAAAGAGTGAAAACTGTACTTCATTAGTATCTCCAAAGATCCTCACCTCAGAAAAGGATTCTTTTAAGGACCTTCAGTCCTATCGAGTACGGTAAGAAACCATGACGACCCTGACACGGGAGGGTCTCGCTTCGTATTTAGAGTGGGCCCCTTTCCTGCTCATGCACATTCTTGTGCTGCTACATTCTCTAAAGTCAAGTCTCCTCCCAATACGTCCACATTGCCTCAAAGCTTAAGATACAGATGCTTCACTTTGAGAAAACCTTCTAAAGACATGCTCACAGTGTTTCCACTCTTCACAGGCACCTTTCTTTCTCCTGGGTTGACATAGGCACCCCTTCAACTTACTCTATCACCATCTGGACTTTCAGTACATTCTGAGACTTTTCACATCATATCTTCATCCCATTGTTCAAAGGGGACACAAAACCACATCACAAACTTGCACAACAATCCTATTGGCCCACTGGAAAGTTCTTGTCACATTTTAAAAATTTCTTCCACCTTCAGTCTTGACGTTATGTTCTTAAGCTAATCTTCCCTCCCTATTCCCCAAAAAGGCAGGGGGAAAGAACCGGCATTCTAACTTGATGATGAACACAGTGATTCCTGAAACATGTTCAAAGAATGAAGGAAACAGGCTGGGTCTCTTCTACGTCACTAGGATGTGGATCAACCTGCAAGAATGAGCAGACCAAGGTTACTACTGTGATGTTCTTTAACACAGCTAGAGAATCTATTTCTAATTACATGATGATAGTTAAGCCAAGCTGCTTAAAGCTACTATTAAGAAGTCCCAAAGACTTCTAAATTCTAAGAATACTATTAAGTTCTCTATATTCCGGGTCCTTAAAGGCAATTCATGGTACTCTACATGCATGCTAGAGAGTACCAAGAAAATACTGCAAAATATGGTAAATGGACCAGTGATAATCTATCATCATCATCATACAAAATTGTCATATGTGTCTTTTAATAACTGGGACTCAACAACGGACACAAGATTATTTACAAACAGAAAAACACAAACCTAGTTTTCTTTTAATATGTTTACCTCTGAATAAAGTGGCGGAGGCTGAAATCGGAATTCCTGGATGCAGGCAAACACAGGACAGCATGACTCTCCCTCACAATTAGGGGGCTGAGGGTAAGGAGGAACGTGTCTAGAGAATTCTTCCTCTGACACCACGTCTGCATAATTTGGTGGTGCTGAAAAAAACCAAAAAACAAACAAACAAAAAAACAGTTGGATCTAAGAAATTCCCAGGCAAAAATTAATTACATTAATGTCTTCTGAACTCTGATAAAAATAAGAAATTTAGCTTAATTTGAGAATAAACAAATGGTATTCTTCCCTCTAATCGGGAAGCTTTCATGCCCATTACAACAAAAAATATTCAGTAGATTCTGCTTTTATTAAGTACTACTAACACTGATACTATTCCACTCTTTTGAGTTGTGTACATTACAGTCTAGGTGAAGAAAAAAAAAACAAATCATGAAATGTGACTACAAAAAATACCTACATAACAAACCATACTCTGATTATTTTTCATTATTTAACTATTATAAACAGGAGTCGGGAGATGTGGATGGTATTTCTGCACGTGCCATTGGGAATTCTGTGTCTTGGGTAGGCTAAACTCTTTAAGTCCCTGCCTAGAATAATGTTTGCTGATTTTTAGTAATAAAAAGAGCGAGGACAGTCATAGTGGCAGTGGTGATTATCATCTGAGCACCTTCTATCTCATATGTGCTGCTCTTACGTACTCTGCATGTGTGACTTCATCATGAAAGAACCTCAGATGCACTCTGCATGTGTGACTTCATCATGAAAGAACCTCAGATGCGCTCTGCATGTGTGACTTCGTCATGAAAGAACCTCAGAACACCTTACCTTCGGGCTGCTCCGGCAGAGTCAGTGTCAGCCAGCTCATGTCCATAATGAACTGGCTGGCAACGCTGGAGTTTCTGCTGCCAAAACCATTGTATGGAACTGTGCCGATCACCAAGGGCAGCTCGAGCATCAGCTTTTTAGCACCAGGAATGTGAATATACACCTAATATGCCAAAAACCAAAACAACGAGAGGGAGAGAGGCACAGATGTAAGTGAAACCTCAGAGTGAGTAGCCCGATTATTTTTTCATAAAAAAGCTCCTTTTGCCTGCTACTATTGCCGACACAGCCGCAAACTGTCCTGACAGAATAAAGTGCGCACGCTGAATGAAAAGCCCACCAAATACAGAGCGCACCCTGCGCTGGAGAACCGTGACCTGGACACCTTCACTGTCACACAAAAGCACAGGACGCTGAGGCTCATCTTCACCGCCACGAGCGGCCCTGACGCGCCCTCCCCCTCCCAGCTTAATTAAACCCCTCGGGGGCTAGCTTTTGATGGAAAAGCAGAGGCCGACCCCCTGTCACTGCTTGCTGTGACACCTCTCGGGGGCACAGCGCCGGCGTGGCGCCACGCCACGCGCCTTACGCCTCCCCGAGCGCCGCACTCACGGCTAAGGAGTAGTCCACGCGGATGATGCAGCAGTCCAGGATGGACGGGGTCACGGGCGGGATCTTGAGGGTCTTCCCGTTCCAGGTGTCGGTGCTCCCGGAGGCGATGTGGTTCCCGCGCACGTTGGCCACCATGAGCCGCACGGTCTTTGTCTTCCCGCTGGCCAGGTATGTCTGAGTCTGGAAAATGGCAGCTTTGGGAACAATCAGACGCGAGGAACAATTCTCTATTTCTGCATAGATCGGAATAGCTTCTCCTAAAAAGAAAACATAAACACCTTCAGAGACTCTTCAGGAAGTTCTCACCGCAGTGGAACAGAGCTCCCTGACGGGAGCTGAAATGTAGCAACGTGACTTTAAGAAATTGAGAAGCCTCATGGAAAAATCTGAGTCAGAGAAAAGAAAATTCACTGCAGCTTGTGCAGATAACGTTTTCTAATTATTGCATGATTCACTTTTCTAATGTAGCAGTATTAGGCTACCAGTTCTAAAGATCTATAAATGACCATGATCTATAAAAATTGAGAGAAGATATACAAATAAATGATTTAGTACTATCTTAAGTATCAAGATCATCAATGCTTAACAAAATCTGCCCACAAAAAGAACAAGGTTTGCATTTTAGGAACTGATGTTAAGCAATGGATGGCGTAAACAAGTTTCACACCCACATTACACATCCACTGTCATACTATCCCATACCACCCCCATCTCCAACTAGCCAGAACCCAGGGGCAGGGCCAAATCCACTGGATGGGAATGGGCCTTGCACAGAGGGTTGTTCTGGGATCAGTCTGACTGTTAGGAGTGTCAACGTTCTACATTTCAGCCCTGCGTGGACAATTCCCAGCCTGGAGTCAGAATGCCTACCAGTATTTTCATACAGCAGTAGCTCTCTTCCAAGCAACACTGCTTGGAATATTCCTCTGCAACATTAAAATAAATGCTGGCATCTTCCCATGCTGGTGTTAGCCTTACTTATGAACGTACCAGGACTGAAGTCAGAAATATTAGGATTGTTGGGATCTACTCATCTATTTACAAATATTTAAATATCAATGATTTATACTAGAACCAGAAAATTGTATTACTCATGTTTTAAAATAGTACATATTTCATTAATCACAAAACATACTATTAAAAATTACTTCCCACTAGCTAATTAATGAATCTTGCATTTGGAATTTTAGACAGTTTGCTTACCATTGCAGTATCCCTTTCTTTCAATTTTGGCACTCAGCGAGACTGGACCAGAAGTGAAAAACCAACAGCCAACCATTTTCTCTTGAGTTTTCAATACAGGGGTCTTTAAAAGTTCAAATAATAAAATTACTTAAATTGATCTAGAAAATTCATACAACTTATGCCATTTTTTAAAATAAAATAGTTGTAAAAAAAAAAGTCTTCCAAAAAACAAATCAACCTTTTTTATCTTCCTGTGACATTTTATGCAACATACTGAAAGAAAGCATTAAAAATCACTCCATTTTCAGGAAAACTAAGTGATCTTTCAGATTTAAACTAGGATCTATTTTATTCTATATTTTCATTGTGTTTCTGGGAAATGATACATCATCCTTTAAAAAAGCAATCAGAACCTAACTGTAGCAGTACCTATTAACATGATAGAACTACTTTTTCTAAAAAAAGACTTTAGGTGTAGATCAGGAGAAGAAGAAACGGCATACAAATCAATAATCAGAATGTTCTATTTGTCTTGGCGTTTAAAATGTTGAATAAGCAAACAGCCTTTTGTCCTTCAAATGCATTATTAGGCAGAAATTTCAAGTGTTCTTCGAATGATTTGGGGCTTTTGTGCTATGACAGTACAACAGACCAGTGTAATGGATCTAAAGGATTATTAAACTCACCACCCACTTTCTATTCTATACCAGCAAAAGAAACAACACAAGGTTTAAAACACTCAAGTTTACAAGAGGCACAAGCCAAAATTTACTGTAAAACCCAAACTTGCAATATATAGCTTTTTAATTGTTGAAGGATAGTAAAGGATAATTAGCATCTCTTTTTCTAAAAAAAAACACTTTAAATTATTTTCCACAAAGCCTCCATAAATAAATTAGAATTAGTTAACCACCCAATTCTAAGTAGTTTTTAAAAACGCAAGGCAGTTATTAGCATCATCAATTTTCAAAATAGGTGTTGAACAGGTGATAAGTCACAGCTGGGTCAGGCTATTGCATGATTTTGGCTGAAAGGGATCATGCAGCTAGGGCTTATCTGTTACATTTTCATAATTTCATAACAGAGTAAATTCTATTTTATTTTTGTGTGAAAATAGAGTTAAGCAACTTCTCACTCCTGTTTTTTTTTTCCCCTGATCTTTAAAAACACTGGCTAGAAAGAGGAAACCTCCAGTACTAAAAATACATCTCTGCAACATCAGTATCATGATGGAAAGTTTAAATTATTAAGTAAAAAAAAAATCATTCATTCATATTTAAATGAAGAACCATTAGGTCCTTACTAGCTATCATGAAAGTACAAGGTATAATTTTATATTATTTTGATAATATGGGTCTAGATAAAAGAATCTACCTCATTAGCTCCCATCTTGCCTATTCTGTTGTTACTTACAGCCTGATCTTTCTTATCAGCCTACAGTATTTCTGGTGATTATTAGAAGTTCAATGCTTTAATGCAGCCAAATCTGTCATAAGGAAATGAGAAGTGAAAGGAAGTCCAGAGCAGCTGCACATCCTCACTTAGCGTTAGAAAATGACATGCAAAATGCACGGAGACACAGCATAATGGCCTGAGCGTCAATAACAGGCTGAGCGTGATTAGTACTCTTCCGTAATTACTGTTCCTCACCCTGCTATTAGGGAAGAGTTTAGAATACCACAGCCCTGTGACTGTGGCTGCTCTGGGAAAAGTAACTACTCTGTGTGTGCGCATTATTATTATTAAGCCTTATTAATGCATTTCGAGCCCATGTAACTTTTTGGCAAAAGAAGCCCTGAATAACAGCGACACAATCAAGAGTATTACCGCACACAATTTGTAATTTGCCCGACTTAGAATCACATATTTGTAGTGAATGCATAAGGGTTATAAGATTACATCAAAAAGTGACAAGACAGGCAGCCACTAGACTTGCTAAATGCAGGGATGATGGCTGAAAGCAAAGAGGAAGAGGGACAGGGGACGGGAAGGGGGAAGAACGTACTAGTAATGCTGGTGTGTTGACATCGATGTGACTGACGACCTGGAGTTCCCGCTTAACGCTCTGATCAGGTGCCTGGGGTCGCTCCAAAACCGCTCTCACACAGTACTGAATGCTTCCATATTTCCCAGTGAAGGAGGTTACCAGAGGTCTGAAAGAAACCAAAGATGTGATTTTTAAAGTTTCTTTTTCAGTTCAAAATGGGGAAAGCTCTTAAAGTGTTGTAGTGGTGGTTTTTAGTCGCTCAGCTGTGACTCTTTGTGACCCCATGGACTGTAACCTGCCAGGCTCCTCTATCCATGGGATTTTCTGGAGTGGGTTGCCATTTCCTTCCCTAGAGGATATTCCCCGCCCAGGGATCAAACCTGTGTTTTCTGCTTGGCAGGAAGATTCTTTACCACTGATCCACGTGGAAAACCCCTTAAATTAAGTGTCAGTTTTGCTTAAAAAAAGAAAGGTGGAAGGGGTGGGTTCTATCAGGGGTTAGTTAGGATAAATATTTACACCTGAGTGTTAGAAGGTACTCAGTACTCATACAATGTACAGACATATTCCAGGGAAAGAAAACCCCCAAAGCTACACAGTTTCACTTACTCAGATGGAAGCTGAAAACTAAATGGAAATTCATGTTTTCCAGGCTGCAGTAAGAGGATGCCTTCCCCTAAAAAAGACAATATATTTTAAGTTTCATATTAGATCAATAATTTTCAGTGTAAACCATAATTTTTTTTAAAGGGAGGTTTTTCTGGCTGTACAACTGAATACACTTCAGAAAGTACATTAACCTGAGATTTAGAGAATTACTGATAAATTTTGAATCAACTTTTACCAAATTCAATCAGTTTCAAATCACATATATATGTGTATATAGTATACTATTAACCTGAGATACAAATATTAAATACAAATATTAAATAGGACTGAAAACTAATTTAGAAAAAAAATAGATCTACTTATTTTAGGTATACCATGAAAATCAGACAAGATACTTTTTGGGCAGAGCTGGAAAAGGAGGTGAAAAATTTCCTTGGCGTGTTATGAATATTGGGTATAATACTTAATAGCTAATTCAACAAGGCCAGTTACTAGGCAGGAATCACTACTGATCAATCGAGGATGTTGCTTCACTTGGGATAGAGAGGTGCAGATGGCGAAACATGGCCACAACTCCTTCCTCCTGCTGTGGGGTCAGCCGGCCCCATTGCAGTCAAACAGAAGCTTATCCCTGACCGTGAGAAAGCTGAGGCAGGCTGTGGATGGGCCAAGCAAGGCCAGAGGCACTGCCGGCGCACCAGCTGAGTGCACAGACTCCCGGTCAGCTTCAAAGCCAACGCCAGGGACGTCAGTGTTGGCTGGGTGGCCCCCTAGAGAGACCTGTACACGTTCTCTTCCTTCTGCGTGCACAGATCCAAGCACAGAACTAAATCCCCTCAAGGGTGGGCTGACTGAGCACTTTCTCTGAGATCTGCCTGGTCAGCTGATACTAAAATGGAGATTTCTATTGTAGCCATTCATAAAAGAAATTTTAAAGGCAAGAAATCACTAGTGAAATGGGATAATTTTTTACGTAGTTAATAGGTCTTAGAACTTAAAAGTCTAAGCCCTTCATCAATTCAGTTAATATTTCAACCCTGTACTTTTCAAAGTTACAAGTGTTAAGTCACTTGGTCATGTCTGACTCTTTGCCACCCTCTGGACTGTGGCCTGCCAGGCTCTTCTGTTCATGGGATTCTCCAAGCAGGAATACTGGAATGGGTAGCCATCCCCTTCTCCAGGGGATCTTCCTGACCCAGGGATCAAGCCTGGGACTCCTGCACTGAAGGCAGATTCTTCACCATCCGAGCCACCAGAGGCCCTTTTCCCTTCCGACCTTGTACTTTTAGAAAAAGGGAATGCATTATTGGCTCATTAAATCTCCTAAATCTATCTCCGATTTTCAATGTGTGATATATTAGGGGGAAAAAAATCCTAACAGCATTTGCCACTTTCGGTCATTCAAATAGAAATACTCGACAGGTGGTTAACTTGGAGGCAAAGTGATAAGCCACAGGGACAAGTTAAATGACATGCTAAATGACAGTGACAGAATTAGTCCCAGGGCTCAGGTGTGTCCGGGGCCACCCCACAAGCCCCAGCACTGGAAGGCGGGAAAGCCGCTCCACTCTCTAACTATCAAGCACTAGGCTTGAGGAATCCCGATACTCCTGAGAGCTGGGCTAAAGTTCCAATTTGTAATCATCAGATAACTGAAGATGACAAAGTACTTAGAATGTTTGAAGATGTGGATTTCATTATGTCCAAAATTTACAGTGATTGTCAGGTACAAAGCTGATACAAAGCTAAGTAACTTCAACCTCCAAATAGACCTTGGGAGGAAAGATGGCTAAGACACTTGTATGCAAGTAATGACCCTAGGATGCCGAGTCTATTGGTGGTGGTTGGGGGTGGGGTGGGGCTTTAGAACCATCTCGGCAGTTGATGTAAGGGGCTGGCATGGAGACAAGGGTTAGGTGAAGGGAAGGGCATAGCGGGCAAGTGTGAAGAACAGAATTGTGCAGGACATTGGAAGAGGATGAGAGAGAGATGAAGTTCTCTCTTCAGAGAAAAAACAAATAGGACCCAGATTATTTTAAATGACTTTGAACTACCTCAATACATAAAGAGGGAAAAAAAAAGTGTTCAGAAAGTTGGGTAGCTCAGCTGGTAAAGAATCTGCCTGCAATGCAGGAGACCCTGGTTCAATACCTGGGTTGGGAAGTTCCACTGGAGAAGGGATAGGCTACCCACTCCAGTATTCTGGGGCTTCCCTGGTGCCTCAGACCGTAAACAATCTGCCCACATTGCAGGAGACCTGGGTTCAATCCCTGGGTTGGGAAGATTCCCCTGGAGGAGGGCATGGCAACCCATTCCAGTATTCTTTCCTGGAGAATCTCCAAGGACAGAGGAGCCTGGCAGGACGCACTCCATGTGTCCATGGGGTCCAAAGAGTTGGACACGACTGAGTGACTAAGCGCACAGCACAGCGTTGGAATAAAATCTTTGCTTGCTTTCTTCTTCTTTATTAATTTTTAATTAAGAAGGTCTATAAACTGAATCATGTGTCCATTTCTGCTCCCAAGGTTTATTATCTTTGCCTTATGCAATGAGACCTACAATGTCACAAGATGCTTCATTCACTCATGGTTCCTCAGCCCAAGCTCCTAATTCAGGGCACTGGTGAGTCCTGGGAGCTACCAGACCAACACAGGAGGCAGAGCCTGGAGCTCAAAGGTTGAGGAACATACACAAGGTCACCCTCCTGGTGTGCTGCCAACACTTGAAACCAGCTCTCTGATGTGTCTTGTTTTTCTACCACTATTACTGATAAAAATATGAAGAAAATCAACCACCAAGATAGAAAATAGGTAGATTAATAAGGCCAACAAATTATCCAGTAGATTTTTTGAAAACACATCCCATAGCCTAATTTCTAAAAACCTCTTCACGTGACTGAAATTCAGCTAGATTTTGAAATTAAACAAAACTAAGAATCTATAGCTATATAATGTTGCTAACTTCTCCCAGGCTATAGATATTAGGAGTTTTTTGGTTTTTTTTTCTCCATGAAGTCAACTAAAATAGACTTATGATTTCACGTTTCACCAGTGTTTGTAATGGTATGTTCTAAAACAAGCTAAGATTTTTCAGGTTGTCTAGAATGAACCATTCTATTTTATCAGAATGACAAAAAATCTGACTTGTGAATCAGAACACTATTTGATAGTCCATATTTTACCAAAGTGTTTTTCCCACTGCAAATCTAGCTTCTATTAATCTTACATCTATTTACTCAGTAGTTATGGGCACAGAGATACAGGCAGTTTAAAGTCCTGGACAAAAACTCAGTAGTTATGGACACAGAGAGTCTAAAGTCCTGGACAAAAACCAATTACTTCCCTCTTCCATTGCCCTTGACTCCAGTCAGCCATCTTGAAAATCTGTGTTGTCTGTTACCTTTGGGGAAGGCCTGTGTGGGTTGATTCTGGAAACCATACTGATGAAAGGGCATAAAGCAAGAAAGAACTGTCACCTAACATACTGCATTTATTAATCCCAGAGAGGACTTTGGTTCACATGTGCTTTCCTCACTGAAGTTTTTGGAATTAGTTGATTCTCACAAACCTTGAGGATTTAACTGTTAACAGTCTACTGTTCCATAGAAGGACAAGGAAAAACTGCATTTACTGTTGATTTTTGTATAATACATAGCAAAGGGTAAACACTGATACACTGCATTTTACTCTTCAAGGGCGGAGAGTCTACATCACTGTTTCATTTTACAGATAAATGCCGAAGCTGATGAGGCAGAAAGGTAAAACAGTTTAAAGGAGCTCCTCAACTAAAAGAAGACTAAGACTCACTGTCCCTGGTATTTTAAGGGAATCTATTTTTGCACCGAACATTGATGGAATCCACGCTGTGAATTTCCAGAAGTACATGGGTACTTCTGGAAAATCCTACACTATTAACGACTTCACAAGCAGGGTCATCATTCCTCCACAAACTCTCTCAGTGGCCAGATCCCGTTGTCACTCAAGGTTTAAAGGGGGTGCAAGGAAGGAAGAAGATGCAAAGAGAACAAAAAGAAGCGAAGGATAAAAACAAAGGTAGAACTCTTAAACTCGCTCCCCAAAAGGGGGGAATCCAAGGATGACGGATCAAGTCAAAAAGCACTTCCTTTGAACTCCTAATGCTCAGGGAACGACTTCCCTCCTCCTAAGATCTGGGCTTTTTGCTAACTCATCATGAAGCAAGAAGGATGCGAGTTGTGGGGGTTGATGGCGGGGCAGGGGGAACGCAGGTGAAGGGAAGGCCCGTAAAACACCGGGCACATCAGGACAGACTCTGGTTCTGCCCTCCATTCCTTAGGCCACAAGGAACAGGACCTAGAGCCCCAGATACTTGGTTCCCATGGCAACGGCTCACTCCCACAACCTGCCTAGACAGTCCTGGGACCCCGAAGCAGCTCAGCGCCCAGCGAGGCAGGGGCGGGGCGCCAGGTGGAGAGCAGCACCGTCTCCCCGGGGTTGGGAGGTGGGGGTGCGCAGGCATTGTTGCCCGCCCGTCACAACCCCAAGGGGATGCTGGGCCACCCCGCGAGCGGACCCCACCCCCGGAAACCTCCCCTTCGGCACCCTGGCCGGCGGGTGTCCCCTGGAGCACTCCTTCCCCGTCCCCCCCGGCCCCTCTCCCAGGCCGGGGTCGGCGCTCACCGGCCGGGGGCTCGCGCAGGCTGAGGCGCACGTTGAGGTACTCCACCTCCGAGGCGGCCGCCGGGGCAGCGGCACCGGCGCTCGGGCCCCAGGCGGCGGTCGCACGGCCCTGGGCCTCCAGGCGCAGCGCGCGCAGGGCCACCGGCTCGGCCGCCTCCAGCAGCACGTGTCCAGCCACGGTCTCGCCGCTCGAGTAGCAGCCCTTGCGCTCGTCTTCGAACACCAGACCCAGGCTCTTCACGCGGCCCTCGAAGCCCGCCGCCGCCGTCGCGGACCCCGCCTCGCCGCCCATCCTGCCGGGCGACGCGGCCGCGCCGAGGCGGTCGGCAGCGGCCCGGAGCCGGGGTCGCGAGCCGAGCGGCGCCGCTGTCACGGGCGCCAGGCGCACGCCGAGGGCCCCAGCGGCCGCCCTGCGCTGCCCAGTGGAGCCACGGCGCGCCGTAGGGCCTGTCGCTTTAACAAACCCAGCTGGCGAAGGCGAGGGGCCGGGACAGCCCACCCCCGGCGCGGGCCCATAGGCCAGCTGGGAGCCCCGCGACGTGCCGATTGGTTGTAAAGGGCTACTGAGTCATTTCATTGGCGCCCCCGCGCAAGGGCTGGCGCAGGCCGGCAGTGCGTGATCAAGGAGTGGTGACCAATCAGGGTACGCAAGGGTGCACGTGCACAGGCCGCTTATTGGCTGGGACAAGGCACGGTCCTGGGGCCCTGACCAATAGAGAGGCGTTGCGCCCATGTGGACAGCTAGTGGGAAACAATATTTGTTAGGGAGGGGGCGGAAACAGGAATCTCCGGCTTTCGGCGTGTCAGCCGTTCCCATGGTTACAGGTGGAGGCGGGGTTTCTAGTAGCCTGGGCTTACGGGGATTCACACTGGGACGTGAGGTGGTGGCTGCAAAGGGCTTGTGATTCTGGTTGCATCTGTATTACTTAAGAGGTTGTACGTGTCCTGGAAAAACGAACTCAACAATATATCTTTGTGAGATCTGGGAGCCGGCCGCCTCGGAATTTAGGTTTCCGAGCCCCAGCCTCTCCCGTGTTTCAGAATTGCCCGCCTAAGATAAAGCTGCAGACAGGGAGACTGAAAGCTGCGCTTCTCAACCTGAAAGGACCCTCAGGAGTTCAGCTGCTGATCTCCTCTTTCAGCCTCTTTAAACTGAGAATGCTTGGAATGGTCGTTCTTCCAGCTGTGAATAAGGTCATCAACCAGGTTGTTTGTAAACAACGTCTGCCACCCAAGTTTCTGCCCAACCCTAAAGGAGTTCCTGACCTCCGTGTCGTAATTCAAGAAAATTTCCAGTTGCCTTGGTGACTTGTTTTCCTTGTCCGCAGCTCCTGTGCCTCTCCTTAGTTTCGTTTTCGTCTTTAATCCTTCATTCCTTCTCAATTCTAATTTTATTATTATTGTTGTTATCTAACGTCTCTGCCACTATCTGGCCATCATTTTCTAAGCCTTATAAATTCTTCCCTTATAAAAAATACCAACGTTGTGAGCGATCACGGAATGACCACGGAATGACCAATCATATATTGAGATTTAAAAATCTTCCCCGATATCGGTGTTTCTTTTGTTTTTTAAAATAATCCTAAACTAAAGGTTGATTTTCTGCTCTAAATTTAGCGTGTTAACATGGAACTTTAATAAGGTTTTACAAGATTTACAACTTTTATCTCTTCCTAAAGAACATGAAAAAGGCCCCAAATCCATCTCTGCATAAATTCCTGAAATAACTGCTCTTCTCTTTTTTTCCAGTTTATCTAGATTTGCCCCCAGCATGCTCTTACTCTACCACTTTTCTTTATATCCTAATCTAACCTTGTATACGCAGGCTTCCCTGGCACCTCAGCTGGTAAAGAATCGCCTGCCATGCAGAAGACCCCAGTTTCATCCTTGTGTGTTTAGACCAACACAATCATTAATATGGTTGGTTTTAGGGTTTTAGGTGTATTATTTTATTATTTGCTTAGTTTGTGCCTGTGGTAGGTGTTTCTCTATTACACTTTTCCTGTCTTTTCAAATATTCCTATATCTTTTAGTAATCTATTTAAATGTATCCACTAATTTTGAACTATATCTCTTTGTAGTGTTTTTGTTTTTTTTTTTTAGCAGTTGCTCTAGGGGTCAGTAACCCTTTGATGCCATAATTGGCATGTATATTACATCCACATGTATTGATAACTCCATCAGACAGTGTTTACATTTTTGCTTCAGGTAATAACATGTATTTTAAAGAATCTAAGAGAAAAATTGTCTATTATCATTTCTGTTACTCTTTCTTTATTCGGAAGTTCCAAATTCCCACAGGAAATAGTTCAGGTTGAAGGATTCCTTCTAGTATTTTAGAGAAGGCCTGCTGCAATGATTTCCCTAAGTTTGTCTGAGAAAGGTTTATTTTGACATCATTACTGAAGGGTATGTGTGCTAAATATGGACTTCTGGGCTGGCAATTCTTTTCTTTCTTTTTTTACATTGCTGCATACCTTATTTTTAAAATTGAAATACAGTTGGTTTACAACATTATGTTGGTTCAGGTGTACAATGTAACATTCTTTCTTTTAGCACTTTACAGATGTTACACCATTGCCTTCTCAGAACCTTGGTTTCTAATGAAAAACCAAACAGTCCTTCCAATTTTTCTTCCCATGGACATACATAGAGGGAATTGTTTTTACTGTCTACTTTGAAGATTTTTTCCTTTATCTTAGTTGTCAGCAGTTTGATTATAATGTGGATAGGTTTGGTTTCCTCTGAGGTCATTTTGTCTTACAGCTGTATATTTATGTTTTTCACCAAATTTATGTTTTCTTTGATAATGTCTACCTTTTTTTCTGCATTTTTCTCCTTCCCATCTCCTGCTGGGACTTAAATATCATGAATATTAGACCTTTTGATATTGTCCCACAGGACCTTGAGGGTGATTTTTTTCAATCTTTTTTCTTTTCTGCTGTTATAGAAATTGGATAAATTCTGCTGATCTGTTTGCAAGTTCACTGACTTTTTCTTCTGTCACCTTCATTGTGTTACTGAGATCATCCCATGAATTTCTTTGTTTAAAATGTTGTATTTTTTAGTTCTAAAATACTTTAAAAAATAGAAACGTCAATCTTTTTGTTTATTTCAAGAGTGTCTACCTTTGTCTCATTGATCATAATGATAATAGTTGTTTAAAGGTCTTTGAAAAAGTTTCTGTATCAGGATAATCCTGAGCTTGACATCTGATTGTCTTTTCCTTTGAGAATTGGTCACATTTTCATGTATTTTGTATGTTGAGTAATTTTAGATTATACCATAAACATTTTGAATCTTATATGATTCTGAGTCCTGTTAAAATGCTCTGGAGAATGCCAGCTATTTTCTGTTGACAGGTAGTGACCCTGTGTATGTTCAGACTGCCCTGGGCTCTCCTTCTGTGGGCAGAAGTTCCTATATCAGTTCAGTTCTTAAAAGCTTTGTTCTCCTGCTATGGGTCTTTACCCTACGCAAGCAGCTCAAAGTGAGCCTGGGACTCTTACCAGTTCATACATAGAATTAGGGGCTACCTTACCCTATTTCTTTCCCCTTTATTATTTTTCCCATTTCCTGTGGCTCCCAGGGGCCCCTTCGTCCAGCCCTCTAGGTAGTAAATCTGGTGTTCTTCTAGGAGTTTTAGCTATAGTACTGCTGTGATTGGAGTTACTATCAAGGCAAAACAGTGAGGGAAAGGAGCGAAGAAAGTGGGATCTTCACACTCCAGGGTGTAGGGTCCTCTGTCCAGATGGACAGGTTTTCTCCTTGGGTTTAGGTTCCTGTGCCACCACGGCTTCCTCAGGGCAGGGCCAGGAGGAAAAAATGACAAAGAAAATCCCAAATCGATGAGACTCAGTACTGATCACAGCAGTTATGTAAACTAAAATATGGAGAAGAGACAAATCTTCCTTACAATATTCCCAACCATTGCCGTAGATTCTCTTCTCTCCCCTTGAGCGTGCTCTAGACTTAGCCACTTGTCCCCAGCTGGCAAACACGTTAGCCAGGTTAACACCACCAGTGATTCATTATGTTGACAGAAGATACCCTTGATGTGAGAGCATGAAAAGGATACTTCACTTCTTTAATGCTCTTTGCTAAAACCCAGAACTCCAGTCTAAACATGAGCAAAACATCCAGCAAACCCAATCTGAAGGACATTCTACAAAGCACCTGATGAGTGGACCTCAAGACTCAAGGCCAAGAAAGCAAGAGAAGACCCAGAAACCCCCAGAGAACCGTGGAGACATGATGACAATGAAATGTGGTGTCCTGGAATGTCGCCCGGAACAGTAAAATGACACTAAGTCTGGAGTTTAATCATAGTTAGATACCAGTATTATCTTCTTGGTTTTGAAAAATGGAATGTGTTAACATGAGATGTTAACCATGGGCGAAATAGAGTGAGGGGTGCTCAGGGACTCGATACTATCTTTGCAGTTTTTCTGAAAACCTAAAGTTATTCTAAAGTAAAAGTTTACTGGAAGCAACAATGATAGCAACAGTGATTTCACCCATACTTTCCGGCTTGTGGAAACACCTTTTCTTAGTTCTCTGACTAAAAGCTAAGGGTTCTCTCTGAATTTTTGCTGCCTATGTTGTCTTTGTTAGTTTGACACAGGGGCCACCCTTGGTTCCAAGTCAGGAGATTAAAAAAAAAAACCCTCCACAAAACTCACTTTTAATATGGTTTGCTTTTTAAGTTTTGACTTCCCTCCCTAAGCTACTAACTGTTATTGGTGCTCAGATACTTGCTGTTATTATTGTTGTTGTTGTTATTTTAACCTCATCAGAGTTTTAGTTGTCATCACTGTGAGAAAGGTTATTGTATGCTGACTCCAAGTTGCCCAGTATCTTTCCTGATCCTTCAGGTCTTATGGTGGCAGTGATTTAGTCTCTTAAGTCGTGTCCTACTCTTGTGACCCTACTCTTGTCCTACTCTTAGGAACTGCAGCCCACCAGGCTCCTCTGTCTGTGGGATTTTCCAGGCAAGAAATATTGGAGTGGGTTGCCACAGGGAATCTTCCCAACCCAGAGATCAAACCTACATCTCCTGCAATGCAGGTGAATTCCTTACTGGTGAGCCACAGCTACCTTTATAATTAACTTATGCTGCTGCTGCTGCTGCTAAGTCACTTCAGTCGTGTCCGACTCTGTGTGATCCCATAGACGGCAGCCCACCAGGCTCCCCCATCCCTGGGATTCTCCAGGCAAGAACACTGGGGTGGGTTGCCATTTCCTTCTCCAGTGTGTGAAAGTGAAAAGTGAACGTGAAGTTGCTCATTTGTG